CTCCAAAATACAACCTTGGATAGGTCTTACATCCTTGGTTGATTCTTTCGGCCTCTTTCATATAGGTTAACGTCATCGAGCAGGGCTCTGACATACAACCTTGGATAGGTCTTACATCCTTGGTGGATTCTCTGAACCTCTTCCACACAGGTTAATGTCATCAAGTAGTGCTCTGACATACAACCTCAGATAGGTCTCACATCCTTGGTGAATTCTCTCGACCTCTTCAATACAGGTTAAAGTCGTCGAACAAAGGCTCCGACATATAAATTCGGATAGGACTCACATCCTTGGTGGATTCTCTCGACCTCTTCCATACATGTTAACATCGGATAGGTCTCACATCCTTGGTGGATTCTCTCGACCTTTTCCATACAGGTTAACGTCATCGAGCAAAGGCTCTGACATACAACCTCAGATAGGTATCACATCCTTGTTGGATTCTCTCGACCTTTTCCATACAGGTTAACGTCGTCAAGCAAAGGCTCCGACATACAACCTCAGATATGTCTCACATCCTTTGTGGATTCTCTCGACATCTTCTATAGAGATTATTAACAGGCTAAAAAGCTTCAAAAAAAGTATATTATGCAATACATCAGAACATGACTCAAAGATGCATAAACAATTTAATTTTCTTTGAGGGATAAGATCTCAACTTCATATACAATATCACTGGAGTTACATTACAAAAATTATACATCAAGTTCATTTTTACAAGAATCTAAAAGTGAAAAGTACATTGGTATCAACCATACAAGACTGCAAGTTACTATCATATCCTTAGTGGATTTGAAAGACTTTTTCTCTACTGCACATTGAAGCACTCAAACAACTTCTTTTTCAAAGAAAGGGATATCTGTTGTCCGTGCTTTTTAATATGGATACATATTGCCTTAGCAGAATACAACTGTACATCGGCCATCATCAGACATTTGTCTGATATTTGCCGGCGGTCCTTTACTTCAGCCATCATTGGATTGTCGCTCGACTACTACTTGCAACGCACCTTCGAACTCTCTCATTCAGCTCTCCACTCGATTGTTGACTGCCAACGAACATCAATTCGGTCATCTATTGACGATGAACTTCTTCTCGAATAGCATCAAAATTCTCCCAGTCTACTCATCACTTCTAGTTTTCCTCCTAGACACTTTTACCGTTAAATCACCATCGCATACAAGAAGCAATTGATCTTCTTTTGTCAAGGGTTGTCTATTAAGAAGATAGCCTCTCATCGCGACTCCTTCTCCATAATAGAGGGGCACTAAAACTTGATAGGGGAATGCCGCCTATCTCATAGTGGAATGCCTCCAATGTAAAAAGAAGAACGCAAGTGAAGAACAAGGAGGAAAAAGTTATCCTTCTATATAAAAGAGGGGCACTGAAACTTGATAGGGGAATGTCGCCTATCTCCAATAGTGGAATGCCTCCAATGTAAGAAGAAGACTAGATAAGAAGAAAAGGAATGACTGCAAAAATTCTAACTTTTATACATGGAGAGAGGCCCAAAATTTTAGTAGGGGATGCCGCCTACAACAAACAGGGGAATGCCTCCACTGTATGAAAGTTAGAATGAAGGAGGAGAAAGAAAAGAAATAGATGCAAAAAATCTAACTTCTGTACGAGAGGAGGTGCGCCGATTTAAGTAGGGAAAATCACCTGCGAAAAATAGCGGAATGCCTCGACTATAAGAATATAGCCAGAGGAGAAAATTCTAACTCCTATACAAGAGGAGGGGCGCCAATTTAAGTAGGGAAAGTCACCTACGAAAAATGACGGAATGCCTCCACTGCCAGAAAGCCAGAAGAAGAAAAAGAGGAGAAGAAATTCTAATTTCTATACAAGAAGACGGGCGTTACATTGAGTAGGGAAAGTCACATACTCAAAAACAACAAAAAGCCTTAACTGTTAGAGAGAAAGAAGAAGAAAAAGAGAAGGTGCAAGTTTTCCTTTGGCCCTGGGGGCTATTTATAGCATTTTTTTGGTAAGAAAAGAACATTCTGGAACTTCTTGAAATTTTCTCAATTTTTTTTTGGAATTTTTTGGGATAAAAAATAGCCATGTGGGCCCCACAAAATTAAAAAAAAAATTAATGGCATAACCGCGCGGTCACGCACGGGACTCGGTGGTTCGCGCGCTGCGTTAATGCCGCCGTCAGCGACAGGCGGCGAGCGGCGGCCGACCGGCCAGGTCGGGGGCCTACACGTATCTGGGCTCCGATTTCGGGCCCGGACGGTCCAAATCCGCGGCTGCTTACACGTATCTGGGCTCCGATTTCGGGCCCGGACGGTCCAAATCCGACTTTTTTGGGGTCCCCGAACACGTTTATTGACATTTTGAACTCAATTTTGATACTTTTGGAGCTCAACGGGGCCTCTATGAACAAGTTTGTGCAAATGTTCAACTTTTGGAAAGAAATTTTTTGCGATTCGACCAATGTAAAATTTTGGAACAAGTATTTTCGGACTTCTAGAGCTTTGACGTCCAAAAATAGGGGGACAACAGATACGTCATCATAAAATTATCTTGATCAGGCAGGAATCTCGAGGTAAAAATCAAGCTCGAAACTTCAAAAATTAAATTCGAGAGCATCTAAACTCCGATTTCAGCAAACCTACAATCAAACTGAGCGTCTCGGAAGTACGAACACAACAACACCAAACTCAACTCAATCTGAGCCCAAATGAGTCCAAATCAAGGACCGAAGCGCTGTTGAAAAGTTCATACCATAATTTGAGTTACCAAACGGTCTTCAAACTTAATAAACTTATGGTCGAATTGAGGGGCTTGATGAGACGAATCCAACAAACCCAAGATCTCCAAATTTAGACATCATTAAGACATTTAAATGTCTGATAAATGGTCCACGATCGAATGATTCAATATCGGTCGTTCTTCCGAACTACTCCATATTTGTCCCTGATCTCTCATCTATTTACAGGCCATTCCACTCCATAAAATCTATAAATAGACCCCTCATTTCTCTTGAGAGGGGGACCGAAGCAAGAAGAATGAGGAGAAGAAGAAGAGAATAATAGGAGGGAAGAGACTCCTCCTCGACCACCGCCAGAGTTCCGCCCGAACTCAAAATGATGCCGGAATTCTGCCCGACTTCCACGGATGCCAGAATTCTACCCAACTTCCACGAGATGCTGAAATTCTACCCAAGTAACGACATAGTTCCCCCCTGACACCGAAACTCCACCCAAGTGATACTAGAGTTCTCCTCAGCCACCAAAAGACGTCGGACTTCTACCCGACGCCGGACATTCACTCATCGCCAAGTTTCTACTCGATGCCGGACTTTCTACAGGTTTTCGAACTTTCGCTGGACGTCTATCCGAAGATGGATTTCTTTCCATTGTTGGACTTCTATCTGACTCTGTTCTTCTGACTTTCGTCGTCAGACAACAGTTCTTCTGACCTCTGTCGCCAGCCGACTACGGTCCTCCTGACTTAAGTCGCCCGCCGACTACAGTCTTTCCGACATCCGTCACCCGTCGACTACGGTTCTCCTGACATACGTCGCCCGCCGACTACGGTCCATCTGACTTACGTCGCTTACCGACTACAGTACTTTCGACCTCCGTCGCCAGCCGACTACGGCTCTCCTGACTTACGTCGTCCGCAGACTACAGTCTTTCTGACCTTCGTCGACAGAAAATGGTCTTTATGACCTCTGTCACCCGCCGACTACGATTCTTCTAACCTCCGTCACAAGACTATGGTCCTCCCGACCAAACGAACACGTCAATAGTGACTCTTTGTATTTCCAACATGTAATGTACTTCATGTAATGTACATCAAGCCTAGGCCTTCCCCCAAGGAAGGGCCTCATTTGTAATCGACTACAATACAAGTGGATTCATTCAAAGTGGGTTAGGCCCCGTGGTTTTTCTCCCTATTCAGAGGTTTTCCACGTAAAAATCTTGGTGTCTCATAAATGTTTGACCCTTTCTCTTATCTGATTGCGTGCCGGATTTTCGTACAATGCTAAGACATTAAACTTTATGTTTCTCTACCGCCGCGAATACTCTTGGATGCAACAATATTCAATAATTAGTGTCAATAGTTAGAAATTAATTTACAATTTATTGAATAAATTGTTTTAACTACGTTATTTGTTAACTCCTTTAAATACCCATTTGATTAATTTAAATAAATTGTGTACTATTCAAAATTGATCATAGAAAATTCAAAAAAATCTAAATTTGAACATAGACGTAAAATTTTAACTCAAAATATAGATCGAACTTAGAATAATTTATAGTATGATTAGGATTGTTTGTTTGCAAGTAAAATAAAATCACATTTGAAAAATCAAGTGCCCATTTATCTTTTTTGTTGAACTAACAAAATTCAAAATTAAAAATAAGATGAAAAGCTAAACTTAACATCATAACAAACGCTCGCTGAAACGACATTGATAGGATTGGGGCCTTCTAAGAGCTTGTTGGAACGATGTCAATGGGATCAGTGTCAGGTAGAGCTAAGGTGGTTTCTTCGTGTGGTTGGTCACAAGCTAAGAGAAAAGGGGGAGCACGGGTCGCATGAGCATTATCCCGTGCAGATGGAGAATTGAGCGGGGCAAAAGCGGGGCCATTTGCAAGGAAGGCAATACATGTTAGGAAGGGGAGGGACACTATTTCTTGTGAAGGTCACACGCACCCTATTTTGATGAATTCGGAAGACATTGCATTTGATTATCTTCCACTTAATCAACCAACTTTTCATAAATCATTTATTTAATTTACAACTACTAAATAACCCCTAAATCAAATTAGATACATGTTTTGCGTTACTCCATTACAACCCAAAGAGACCGACGAAGATTGGGAAACGGCGAACCCTTCTACACTTACGTTTATATGCGGACGACTAGGCATTCCTAGAATTCCGCGTGGTCCACCAGCCCCGCACTGCGCACGCCTGTAGAGGTCCACGTGATCAACGAGTCGCCGCCGGCTTCGTTGAAATATAGAAATAATTATCTCCTAAAACTAAATGTAGGGGCAAAAACTTTGGTTTTATTTTGCATTTATTTTTTTCGTTTCCAATCAAACTGATCGTTTTTTAATTCTTTAAAAAAAAAGGAAAACAATTTCTTCAGCTTTTCCTGCTCTTCCATTTTCTTCCTAGTTTTCCTAGTCTCTCTACTCCCTTTGGATCGTAGAATAGCAAAAGACAGCAGCTGAGCGTCATCGAATACCCCAGGAGATCTCTTATCGCCTTCTCGTCGGATTCTCTCTCTATCTAAGAGAGAGTAGAAAAAGCAAGGATGATCTGTTTGCTTATTTGCATCTTTTTTTCATTTCGCAATCATTTCGCTTCTGATTGAAACGAATCCCTTTTTTTCAGTACGTCAAAATCCTCCTCTTTCCTCAAAAGCTCAAAAAACCGCCTATTCCATATGGTTCTTCTTCCTCTCACTAAAACAGAGAGATCAATTTGTTTGCTTCTCTGACCCCTTTGCCGTTTCGCAATCATTCGCTTCGTAATCGACAGAATCGAATCGACTCCCTTGTTATTAGGTACGTTAAGTACCTCCCTCCTCCAAATCACAGAATAGCACCGGATCTTAAACCCTATCTCCATATTTCTTCTAACTATAGCAGAGTGAGAGAGAGAGAGCGAGAGAGAGAGAGAGAGAGAGAGAGAGAGAGAGAGAGTTGAGAGAGAGAGAGAGACATAGAGAGAGAGAGAGACGGTGATTCGCTTGCTTCATTGCCTCCTCTTTCCTTTCGCAATCATTATATTGCAATCGGATCAATTCCGACGTTATTCCGCGTAGAGGTCAAAGTTCCCAATCCAAAGCCCCGAGCATCACGGTTCATCCCCTGTATTTCTTCTGCTTATCTCACGACAATAGGGAGAAGAGAGAGAGAAAGAGATCGACCTATTCGCTTCATTTCCTGGCTATTCGCTACGCAAACATTTCGCTGTCAATTAAATTGGATGATTGAGCCCCGTGTTGTTAGGTAAAACTAACCTGTTTTCCTGTTATTTTTCCGTCTTAAGAACACACTGATTGATGTATTTAAGTTCACATCGATCGATCCCTTTTTAAGTTTTCACAGGCATCGGGATTCGGATCGGAATTGAAGACATCAAGGAATAAGGTCATCGAACTGCCGATTTGATTTGATTTATCTGATTCAAAGCAGATGGGGTCGTTCAAAGGGCACGTGCTACCAGGTAGCCTCTTTCTCATGGTGGGAGCATGGCACGTTTGGAGCGCGGCCGTGAGGTACGCCACCGACCCGTCGATGTTTCGCGTACAGGTTTGGAGCCCGATGGGCGAAGGGCGATGGCGACACCTTGAGCTTTACATCGTCACGATTGGAGCATTCATCGACATGTGTATCGAGCTCCTGTACTCCACCCACCTCCAATTCTTCGTCGGCGGGGAGAAGATCCTAAACCCTGCTCATATGAACGATTTCGAGCACGGCGGCATGCTACTAATGTTTTTCCTCTACGGCACAGTTGCGCTTCTCTCCGTGAAAACCAGGTCAGCTATTTCTTTCTTGCTCTTGTTTCTCTTGGCGATTTGCTGTTTGTCTCTCTTGAAAAGATGACCGGAAGGGGGGAAACGGTTCCGGAAAGTAGGGCGAGTTTTCTCTCTAGCTTTCTCCCGAACGGACCTCAGTGGGCCGCAACGCGACAACGTGGCATGGTGGATCCAGATGGGTCACATGCTTCGCCTAACTGCACACACACATACATATATAAACTAAGATACCATTTATCAAATTGGAAAATTCGAACGCAGGATAGGTTCGGATGCTGCGTATTTACTGCTTATTTGTTGCGTATTTTTTGTGTATTTAATTTTTTCTACGTATTTTTTGCGTATTTATTGTGTATTTAGTGAGTATTTAGTGAGTATTATTTATTTGTTATTTTTTGGCACAAAAAAATTTTGTATAAAAAAATACGCAACAAATAAGCAGTAAATACGCAGCATCCGAACGTGTTCGAATTACGTACACAATAATTTCTCCTATTTATAGGTGAAAAAATCAAGAAGTTTTATATAAAATTTTAGGAGTTTAGATAATCCTCAAGTAACTTTACATTTAAAATAAAATCACTTGAAACACTTTTAATGATATAGATTAATAAAAAATCAATAGCTACTAATCATTTGACTATAAAAATCTTCATAAAAAGCCTTATGCATATGTTTAATTGGCTTAAATTAGAGTCGATAATCTAATTCAAAATTGTAGAAGCATCTCATATATTTATTCTCATTCAAGTATCACTTTTTTTTTTGTTGAGGGTTTATTTAACAAAATTTTCCCAATTTCATTGTTCTTCCAAATCTTCTATCTAATTACTGATAGTATTAGCAACACTATCTCAAGTTGGCTTGGGGGTTAAGTAGGATGCAATTTCTTTGTGATTTGAATTCTATTGGATTGAGTTAGAATGTCTAGTATTTGGGTTTGGTTAGATTCAGTTGGAGTAAGCTATATTTGGGTTTAATTGGATTTGTATTCAATGCCCACGCGTTAAATTTGGCTGGGAGAAATCCTCTGAAATGAACGGATTGTTGGTTTTCAATCGCCAACTTAAATACTGGTTATTCGTAAATGGAGCGATTGTAGGGGTGTTTTTGCATAGTTTTTGTAATCATTGTCGTGTTATTCGCATGAGGTGTAGAGCAGTTGTCCGTGATGGAGATTATTAGTAGCTTATTTAACTGGAGAAGACATTATTGGAAGAATTTTGAAATTAAATCTTTCTAATTTATTGGATATATAACATTTAAAAACATGAACTTTATTTGGCCAGCATAGTGAGCTGTCTTTCACTTAATGAAGGAATGGACACGTGCTCTTTCTTGGACAAATTTTTATTATAATCACGAAGTAATTGGCATGCATTAACCTTAATAATAAAAAGGTTCTTGCTGATTGAAAGGTATTGGAGTGAACGCAAATGAAATTACTTCACAATTTTTATATTCAGTATTCATGTGTCGATTATAAATTGTAAGTCGTTAATAATTAAATTTATCTAAAAAATACCAATAAATATAGCTTTTCATTAATAATTAACTATATAACTCTAGTGTAAAACAGGGAAAAAATCATCCAAAAATCATTGTGATACGTCTCCTTTTTATAACAAATAAAAACTTATTTTTTAATAATTCAAAAAATATTTTCAACTCAATTTTCCTCAATAGGGTAAGTAGTCGAAAATTAATTTCATGTCACTTATTTTAATATTTTCATTTCCATTCTCGTTTCATTCCCTGTATTTGAATTCCGTCAAACCAAACAGGCAAAGGGTATTATATTTTCGCTCTTTCCCCCTTTGAAATCAAAATTACTACGCTATTATTGGTTATTAGTCTTGAAACCTTTCGTGGTAAACGAATTAGCTTTCAGATTTATTTTGAGTTTAATATATTATGAATATAGCCCTGTTGAAAAAGTAAAGTATTTCTATTAAAATTTTAAATTGTGTTTGCTTTTATTTCAGTCAAATATCAAAACTTTTAAAACGTTGATTTGCATTTGGAATACTTGCAAGTTGCAACCAAAGAACGTCTAAATAAAGACTTGGTGCAATTCATATGAAAATTAAAGAATAATGATTTTATGCAAACCTGTCGAAATTAGTAAAATGACTCTTTTGCCTTTCGTTTTTCGGTTTTTACCTATAAATTAAAAAGAACGTTATAATCTTCCACTTTTTCAGTTGGCTTGCCTTGCCGGAGGGCGCTCTCTGCCTTCTAGCTTCGGCAGCCTTCACCGCGGAGTACCTCCTCTTCTACTTCCACTCGACAGCCCACACAGGTCTCGAAGGCTATTACCACCTCATCCTCGTCATCCTTATCGGCCTCTGCATCGCCTCCGGCATCGTTGGCTCTCTCCTCCCTGAAAATCTTGCCGTCGACTTCTCAAGCGGCGTCTGCATCACTCTACAGGGCCTCTGGTTCTACCAAACCGCTTTCACTCTTTATGGACCCATGATGCCGAGGGGATGCCGACTAGACGACAATGACATCAATTGCATCACACGAGACAGTCAGGTTCGAGGACAGTTCCTGGCCAATATACAGCTTTTTTCCCTCGTTTTCCTGGTATTTGTCTATGTGATAGGATGCTACGCGGTTGCTGTATCTCGGTATGGACATCCAGAGCTGAAGAGATTACATGAAGAAGATGTGGGAGAAGGCGGCGATAATGGAGCAGGGATGGTTGGGCGATGATGACCGACAAAAAGGTAACCTATTTGTCGATATTTGCTTTTATCACTCTTATTTTATTTCTTCATTAAATGAAATCAAGGATATGTTCTTTGGAAAGAGTAAGGATTCACTCCCCAAATAAATTCCTCTTAATTTTTTTTTTTAATTTTGCATCTATGATTGATGTGGATAGGTCACCCACTTTTCATAACTTAGTCACAGAAGTGAACAAGACGAAAACAATGGCTTCATTTGAAACGTTTATGTTTTCCTATTTTGTCAGTTGAAACTTAATATATAAAATTTGTTTTATTATTTTATATAGGCTATATAAGTATTAGCGCATATTACATTTCTGCATCTTTATTTTATTTACAATTGTATCCTTCTCCTCTCTATATATTCAGAACTGTATCAAGCTCTAATTAATTGAATTCATATTTTCTAAATTTCCCGCTCTCGGTTCTCTGTCTCTCCTTCTCTCGGTTCGATTCTTTCATGGTATCTTGAACCATACATGGGAGATCAAGAATCATCCTCGACACTCCCTCCCTCTTCCACCAATCTTGCCGGAGCAACTCCCGCCGAACCCCTCATCCCTGCTCCCCTCAAATTTCTTGTTTCCAACATCAAAACCCTTCTCCCTCATCCTCTTACCACCGATAACTATGCTATTTGGAGAATTCAAATCCTCCAACAGTTCACCGCCACCGGCTACGACGGACACCTCAACGGCACGTCACAGCCGCCGCCTGACACCTCCTCCTCCGCTTACGGGACCTGGAAGCTCACCGACAGCACGCTGATCTCCACGTTATTTTCGGCTATTTCCCCTACAATCTTACCTTATGTCATCACGGCAACCACTGCCCATGATGTCTGGACGATTCTTGAACGTCGTCTTCAGCTCGCCAGCCGCTCTCGCGTCATTCAACTAAAGAACGAGCTTCATCACGTTCAGATGAAGAATCTTTCTATGCAGCAATATCTCACTCAAGTCAAGACCATTGTCGACAACATCGCCGCCTCAGGATCCATAGTCGACCCCGAAGACATATCCATCTACATCCTTAACGGGCTACCAGCGACATACAACTCCTTCAAAACGTACATCCGGAACTCCTCTCAACCTGCCGATCTTGACTCACTGTATTCACAACTTTGCAGTGAAGAAATCCATGTTAACCAAGAAGCACAGAAGGAAACGGCCACTGATCATTCGGTTCTTTATGCTACATCTCAAAACCAAAATCGTGGCCGCTCCTACCGTCGACCACCGAAGAACTTCAAGACTCCGAACAACCCTCCGCACCCGCTGCCCCAATCGAACACTACTACCAACTCTTCTACAAATCAACGCCCAACATGCCAGATATGCGGCAAGATCGGCCATCTCGCTCTCAATTGCTGGCATCGGTGTAACTTCAAGTACGCGCCTACTACGTCCCCTCCTCCACGCGCGTTGCTTGCTCAACCTACCGGACAGCAATCTCAGGATTGGATTTTAGATACCGGTGCCTCGGCTCACCTAACTCCGGACAACAACAACATCCAATACCCTCAATCCTACTACGGCACCGACACGGTCTCGGTAGCAAATGGATCATCCCTACCCATCCAAAACTCCGGGCAAGGACTCCTGCCGCTACCAGACACCCCGCGTAAGCTACGATTATGCAATTTACTTCACGTTCCTTCTCTTAAACATAATTTACTTTCTGTCTCCAAATTAACGACCGATAATTCCATCTCTATCACCTTTGACGCTAACGGTTTTGAAATGAAGGACTCTCAGGATCAACGCCCTCTTCTTCGTGGTCAGCTTCATAAAGGTCTCTACCACATTCGGACTGCGCCTGACGTCCAGCATACAGCTCTTCAAACCACCGCGACTACTACAAACCTCTGGCATGCTCGTTTGGGTCATCCCAACAGCCGGATTCTTGCCTCTCTAGCAAAAATCATTCCCATTCCCCACATTTCTTCCTCAAATTCTTTTTGTAATTCCTGCAATGTAGCTAAGAGCCACAAGCTCTATTTTAATAAAAGAAGTTCTGTCTCAAAATTTCCCTTTGAACTAATTCACTCGGACATTTGGGGCCCGGCTCCTACGATTTCTAATGACGGTTTTCGTTATTATGTCATATTTATAGATGATTTCACAAGGTTCTCATGGATCTATTTTATGCAAACTAAACAAGAAACTTTTTCCAAATTTAAGATTCTTTGCAGTCTCATTAAAAACCAGTTCGGCTGTGTTCCTAAAAAGTTTCAATCGGACGGTGGAGGAGAGTTTCTCAGCTCAGCATTCAAGAATTATCTTCAAGATCACGGTATTTTACATCGTCTCTCCTGCCCGCACACCCCCGAGCAGAATGGCATCGCAGAACGAAAGCACCGTCACATACTCGAACTAACCCGTGCTCTGTTTCACTCGTCCAACGTGCCGTCTCGCTTTTGGCCGGAGGTTGTCAGCACTGCCATATACCTCATTAACCGTCTTCCGTCAGCATCCATGCAGTTTCATTCTCCGTTCAAACGTCTCTACAACAAAGATCCAAGCTATGATCATCTCCGTGTTTTTGGATGCCTCTGTCATCCTTGGATGAAACCTTACAGCATCAACAAATTCTCGCCGCGTTCGCACGATAGTATCTTCCTTGGCTACTCTCCAAGACACAAAGGCTACATCTGCTACAATCTTGCCTCTCAGAAAACGCAAATTTCAAGACATGTGGTATTTCACGAACACATTTTTCCTTACCACAACTCTCAACTCACTCCCGACACTGCCCCTAACACTAATCCTATCCCGCCTCTTCTTATTGTACCACCCTCTGTTATTCCGCCCCCTACTGCTCCCATTCACAAAACTCAACAATTTTCAATTACAATCCCTTCCACACCTCAACTAACCCACCCCACCACTCCAGCACAAACACTGTCTAACCCGTCCCCCGCAACAATCACTTCCCAACCTCAACAAGGCACGCATCATATGCAAACCTGCTCGAAGTCCGGCATTTTCAAACCCAATCCTCACTATGCTCTGGCTGGTACTATCGACCTTTCTTCGACTCCTACCTCCTACCGTCAAGCGTGCAATCAACCTCATTGGAAACAAGCAATGCAAGCGGAATTCAATGCTCTTCAAAATCAACAGACCTGGACTCTGGTTCCCGCTCCCGCCAACAAACAAATTCTTGGTTGCAAATGGACCTTCAAAGTTAAACTCCTACCGAACGGTCAGGTAGATCGCTACAAGGCTCGGCTTGTAGCATTGGGCTACGAACAACGTTACGGCGAAAACTACAACGAAACCTTCAGCCCCGTAGCAAAAATGCCGACTATTCGTATGCTTATAACTCTGGCAATCAATCGGAAGTGGCCCGTTATGCAACTCGACGTCTCCAACGCCTTTCTACACGGCAATCTCACCGAAGATATCTATATGCGACAACCGCAGGGTTTCGTTGATCCTAATTCTCCTACCGCGGTGTGCAAACTACATAAGTCCCTATACGGCCTCAAACAAGCTCCCCGACAGTGGTTTCAAACTCTGACATCCTTTCTTCAAACCCGTGGATTTACCTTCAGCCGATCCGACCCTTCTTTACTCATTCTTACAAAATCTAATATTCAAATTTATTTTCTAATATACGTAGATGACATTCTTGTCACAGGAAGCGATCAAGACGCAATTCAAACTCTTCTCCGGGATCTCAACTCGCGCTTCGTCCTAAAACAGCCTGGAGAAATTTCTCTCTTTCTCGGTATTCAAGTGCAGCAAATCGACAATGGTGTTCTCCTCACACAAGAACACTACGCACGGAAATTACTACAGACGGCGGGCTTTACCGAATGCAAAGCAGCTCCCACTCCTATCACGCCTATCTCAAAACAATTAACTCCTAACCATACACCTTTCCCTGATACATCTCTTTATCGTCGTCTTGCAGGTTCCTTGCAATATCTTTCCATAACTCGGCCTGACATCGCGTTTGCCACCAATCGGGTTTGCCAGCACATGTCCAACCTGACCGTCCAACACTACAAAGACCTCACCCGAGTGCTCCGATACATCAAGGGAACAATCTCCTTTGGTTTACCACTCAAATCCGGCGATCTCAAGCTCCAAACCTTTACCGACGCGGACTGGGCCTCCGACAGCTCAGACAGAAAATCTATATCAGGTTTCTGTACTTTCCTTGGACCCAACCTCATCTCGTGGTCTGTCAAGAAACAAGTAACAGTGGCCAAGTCTTCTACCGAAGCAGAATACCGTTCCCTCTCTGCCGCCACCTCGGATGTGGTATGGCTTAGACGTCTGGCTGCCGAACTACAAATCCCGCAAGACTCACCGACCTCTATACATTGCGACAACATTTCAGCAATTGCCATCGCAAAGAATCCGGTATTTCACGCACGGACGAAGCACATAGAAATTGATTATCAATTCATCAGGCAGCACATTGCATCTGGACACGTCGAACTCAAGCACATCTCCTCCATCGACCAAATCGCCGACATCTTCACTAAAGCCTTCTCTCCGGCTCGATTCAGCTACCTACGATCCAAACTAAACATTCAATCCACGAATGATTAGTTTGCGGGAGGATATTAGCGCATATTACATTTCTGCATCTTTATTTTATTTACAATTGTATCCTTCTCCTCTCTATATATTCAGAACTGTATCAAGCTCTAATTAATTGAATTCATATTTTCTAAATTTCCCGCTCTCGGTTCTCTGTCTCTCCTTCTCTCGGTTCGATTCTTTCAATAAGCATTACCCAAGTAAATGCAATACAATCTATAAATCTCAAAATTTTTGAGGTTCTATTTGAGAAGGTGAAAGTTAGCATTACTCTTTTTTAACACAAAGTAGATTAAATGCTCGATAACATGAAGCCTAAGTTAGGATTTAATTGATTATTGTAGCGTTACTTATTTAGTTATGGAAGAATTTGTGTGCCGCATGCTTTAGATTCATGTTCATCACAATTGGTGCGCTTTGGGTGTGTTTGGTTGGGCTTTTAGGCAGCCTTTATTTGAGTAAAAAGTGCTGCATTGCTTATGGAAGGACATAATTTTAAAAAGTTAAAAAAAAAAAATAAAGTATTGAATTTATGGAGCACCTTTTCGGCCACCTTTATGAATAAGAGAAGCTAATTCCAACTTTTGCACTTGGGCTTCTCTTATCAGAGCTAGCTTTGCTTACTCGATTGTTACAATGATGCAAAGAACTTTATTGCTAGTGCGGTTTAGTACAATTCAAAGATCATTGTAATTATCTAGCGTAAGCTGCTATTATACTTCATAAATTAATCGGAAGTGTTTTTCCTTCTGCTTGTTCTGATTCATTTCATTTTGTTTTTTCATATTCGAGTGACTTACTTGACACTTGTAGAAATGTCATTTGTTCTTAGTTCGGAACTGACTATATAGTTTTTTTGACTTAATACAGGATGAATAGGATGACGCCTTTCAGATCACCAATGCATACGGCGCTAGCTACAGTAGGAGAAGCTCATGAAACAATCTATTATGTCTAAGGGCTGTAGTTTATTGCTTTTACGTAAGGATTCAGAGTAAAAGTTTTTGAGGTTAAAATTATTTAGACTTACAGAAAGCCCAGTTTGGGATTAATAGCTAAAATGTAGGAGGATATACACAAATAGGGATGTTTTGAGACACATTCAACGTTTTGTTTGTAAAGTGAGATGGCTAACTAGAATTGCAAATTATGTTCGAATTTATAGAGAGATGATGTTTGTTGGTAGTAATTTAGTGTATTCTTCTTTCGTTTTAATTCATTTGGAGATTTAAATTATGTTCGAATTAATAGAGAGATGTTGACCTGCTGTATAACAAAAAAGAAAAAAAAATCAAGTCCTTACCTGCCCACTGCCAAGGCCATGACGCACGTCGCCTACACGCCGAAGCACGTTGTATCCCGCACGTCGCTCCCACGTCACCTACACGACGCTCCTGCGTCGTTAAAAAGCCGAAGGGAATGAGAGAGCGAGGCTCTCTCACGCTCACTCTCTCCCTATCTCCCTCCGACCCCCTCTGCTCTATTCGACTTCGCTCGACCGACGACTTCCCTTCCTCTTGGATCGGGAGTCCGACATTTCGATCGGAAGCACGAACGGGAGCTCACCGTCCGTGAAGATAACTTTCTACCTTCCGTGCGTTTCTTCAGTTCCTTCTTGGCTGTCCGACATCGCTCCTCCGACAACCTCCCCGCCGGATCGGAAGTCAGACATTTTGATCGGATGGAGCAACGGGAGCTCGCTTTTTCGGCACCCCCATTGCTGTTCGACTTCGTTGCTTCGACGACTTTCCCTACCTGTTGGGATGAAAGTTATGGCATTTTGATCGGAGGCAAGCACAGGAGCTCGCTGGAAGTGAAGGTAACTTTCTCTCTGCTCGCGGTCTTCTCCGGCCAAATCCCGTAATCCGCCGAACCGAGAGATTGGGGAGGGAGGGTTTTCTTTTTTTTGTGTGTTATTATTACTATTATATTTAATTATAATTATTTTAATTAATTCCAATTAATACATTATTTATTTTAATTAATTATAAAAATAATTATTATTTAAATATTATTAATTAATTATGATTTATTAAAATTAATTAATATTTCATTAATTATAATTAATTTCAAATTAATTATAAGCTCGCCCTCCCGCCTCGGTCCACGAGCTTCTACCGCCGATCCGTCAGTCATCAAAAGTATAATTTCTGGAACCTAGGCTCTCTCTCTTACCTCGGTATGGGTGTCGAGTCAGTGGTCTGTCTATACATGCTTTTCTCTAATGTGGTGGGAGGGGCAACCGGCGCGACACCCACGACAAGGTAGGCGAGTGGCCCTCGGTTCCAAATCCTATTCTCGGTGTTCGTGGCACACCAGAAAATCGCCTATACACGCTTTTCTCTAGCATGGTGGGATGGGAACCCGGTGCGACACCTACGACGAGACCGGGATGTTTATAAGTACACCCGGGCGGGGGGAAAGCAAATTTCTCTTTTCTTGTAACAGGTACCGAAGACCCATACACGCCTTTCTCTGGCGTGGTGGGGGCAAAGACTTTACACGGCCGCGGTGTTCTCGAAAGTGGGCACCTACCGTACACGTTTTTCTCTAGCGTGGCGGGAAAGGCCCAGTTTTCCGTCATTTTCCCCTAAACGGGGAAGACACCGGGAGGCTGCCAAAATTTCGGGTGAAATACTACTACACTTAGACCTATTTTGCACTCAAAAGAACAAGAGTCTGGACTCAAATGAGAAAGAGCAGTGGACTTTCGAACTTGATTGAAAGTAAACAGAGGACTTGTGGACCTAAATCAGAACAAGCCTAAATGATTTCTAAAAAAAAAAGTTCAAATCCAAATAAAATCAAGACAGAACTGAAGATCAAATTCAAATGAAATGAACTCGGAATAGGACCAAATTGAAATCATTTGAATGCAAAATTGAACTCAAAGGATTTCAAAAAGACTATGAACAATCAACTCGGACAAGCACTTGAATTCGTACTTGAACTCGGGCTGTACGACATTAAGGGGAGACCTGTAAACTTGATGAATTCAAGTCTGAATGAAACTAAACTTGGATCCAAACACATACAAGGACAAAGTTTGAATCACGTATGAGGAAATTCAAATTACAAGACCTCGATGCATGAATTCCTACAGCAATCCCTACAAATACCTGTTGATTGAGATGGCAATGCGGGAGATCAGCAATCAAAGACCCGGTCATGCAAACAAACCCAACAAATCCCACCTGAGATTGGCGACAGGTGGGCATGATGTAGGCAACAATGGGTTTCATACGAAAAATTCCAGGAGCTTGTAGCGGCTGCAACGGGTCCTTGCAAATGAACACAACCTCCTTGTGGATAACAACAGTGAGAACCTCGTAAGCATAGCGGACCACTGTGAACACAGGTATTAATATCACCTACGACAATGATGGTAAAAATCTACGAGTACACCGGGTACAAAGGCAGCCCGATGTACGAAGAAAGACACCTCCTGGCAGAATGGGAGGAAAGTTCAAACAAATTAGAACTAAACTTCCTGGTGTTCCAAAGTTTCTTCCTTGTCCCATCCTTAGGAAGAAAACAATTCTGATGTCTACAAAAACCAAAAATAGCAAGTCCATTACGCCGAAGAGCCTAAAAAGAGTTCTTTTCAAATCAACGGTCATTGACTCCAAAGTCCAGAAAGTCCCTTCCTCGGTGATTGAGAAAGGGGGAGTCAACATTAAACGCCACGCCACCGGATCTGCAACACTCGTACTAGCAGACAGAAGGCGTCTACAATCTACAACGCTACGCCACCGGATCTGCAACACTGATACAAGCAGACAGAAGACGTATATAATCTACAATCCAATGCCACCAGATCTGCAACACTCCTACTAGCAGACAGAAGGCATCTACAATCTACAACTCTATGCCACCGGATCTGCAACACTGATACAAGCAGACAGAAGGCGTCTACAATCTACAATCCAACGCCATCGGATCTGCAACACTCCTGCTAGCAGACATAAGGCGTCTACAATCTACAATCCAACGACACCGGATCTGCAACACTCCTACTAGCAGACAGAAGGCGTCTACAATCTACACCGCTACGCCACTGGATCTGCAACATTGATAAAAGCAGACAGAAGGCGTCTACAATCTACAATTCAATGCCACTGGATCTGCAACACTCCTACTAGCAGACAGAAGGCGTCTACAATCTACAACGCTACGCCACCGGATCTGCAACACTGATATAAGCAGACAGAAGGCGTCTACAATCTACAATCCAACGCCACCGGATCTGCAACACTTATACAAGCAGCCAGAAGGCGTCTACAAATACTTTCAAAATACCCCTGCACGTACACCATAGCTTGTATACACATAAGTACACAAAGGGGTACATCAAATCAATGAAATTCCCAAATCACCCGTATGGGCCCCGACGAGCGTATTCTTGGTACACACGTGACGCTTAGGGATGCTGCACCGGTTAATAAGTGAATTCTAGTTCGAACCTGATCCTTCTATACGGACCAATGGAAGTCGATAGGGTTCGAACCTTTAAACGAATACACGGTCGTGGTGACCAGTGTATTTGTTTCAATACATTCAAATTAGGCCTTTAAGGCTTAAAATCAAAAGAATTCACTGAAAGGCACGAAGCCTATGAGAAGCCCGATCCTCCTAAGCAAGCAAATAGGAGTAGATAGGGCTCGAATCATTGAATAAATATGTATAGTCATGTAGTCGACTGGAATATTTATTTTAATGTATTCATATTCGGCCTTCAAGGCCTAAAATCAAGAAAATTTATTAACAAAGGCACAAAGCCTATGAGAAACCTGATCCTCGATCAATAGCTTGGTCGAGTTGATGAGGTTCAATCAAATAAAGAAATGACCCCAAACACTCCGATGATGGCCGTGTTGAACACTAATCTCAACCATAGGGGTCCATTTAATCCAAAGCTCCATCCAAATACTCCAGAAATCCAAAATCCCAAAAATCTCAAATATTTAAAACTAAAATCAAACCATCAATGCTTAAAGCAAAATCTATCCACCCTCCGCAACAGTTTGCCGAGGTGGACAAAACAAAATTTACTTCAGCTCATAAAAGAGCCAAATGCCTAGTCGAAAATATCACTAGGGTCCATTCTCAAAACAATCTCCTGCTAGTAAGGACGTGGTACGTGTCCTCTAACCGGCGGTCTGCCGCTAAATGACACCGCAGGATAAACGGTTACGACGACCTGGGGCCCTCTGAACCGAGTGGTTTTGCCACCACGATATACCGGTTATGGCCAGAGCCAATACGCTCCTTATTGACATCAAATCCTTGAGATATGAATCTATAGGATATGATTGATATGGCACAAAGCCCTCTATAAGCTATGGTGGATTCAAATTTGTTCCCTTAGACAAACATCCAACCCAGGTCTGCAAGGTCCCCTTGGACGAAGCAACACATGGCTGCCGACAAGGATCCTTCTGCCAGGTTGGGTCGACTACCTCCTCTGACTAAGTAGACCAGGGACCATGATGGCCCGAGACAACGGAACCATGGGATCTTGATCGGGCCCATCATCCATTCCCCCACCATTCGCTTTAAGTGCAAGATGGTGCAATTTCCTATTTTAAATATCAAATATACCCAAATCTAAATCCAATTTATACCAATACCTAAATCCATTGCTGCTACTATATGCCAGATAACACGTATACTCTACGTATCTGATCGATGACTAGCCTTAATCGAAAGTTTTCTCTCGTGATCGAGAGGTAATTAACTATAAATGCTTGCGCATATAGAAAACCAGAACTCAGATCATAAAGTCCTCACAAAATGAGGGCGAAACTCTGGGTAGTTTCTTATCTACAAACCCATATGCCTTCCAAAATTTACCTCGGAACTTAGTCCGTTAAAACTCCCCTCACTCAACTAAACAAAAAAAGAAATCGCGCGGCAGGGAGGCCGGGGTCAAATTTTCGGAGGCCACAGTTTTCTAGCGACTCCGCTAGGGAATGGTTTCTCTTTCCATCTCTGGCTAGTCACTTAAAAGGCTATAGTAGCAAGCAAATCAAATTTTAAATTTCCTGAAAAATGATTCTTTTAAATAAGATCAATGGAAATTCAATCAGCAGGGTTTTAAATTCCATGCTAATTTTCCTGCTATCATTCGTTCTGCGTTATTTCTATTTTATGAAAGTGTGGGGTGATGTATCAATTCTGATCACTAACCCCTGCCTTTCATTTTATAGTAGAATGGAAATGCAGGACACACTGATGACCGTCTAACTGGGACGAGGAGCTAGGATCCAGCTGACAAACGGTGTGATTGAAACTGGAAATACTGGAGCCACCATCCACTTTGGTGGGCTCGAGTTCTCAGCAGCTACTGCAAGGGCAGCAGCCGTTCCTGTGTACGGCGTAAACTCTGATGAATTTTCTGGAAGGTCTCACTCTGCAAGGATTAGTGCTGCCCAAGGAAGAGTTTCTGTCTTTGAAAGATTATCCGAATCTGAGGCCCTTACTACAAAAAGGGTTGTTACTGGAAGAAAGATCTCTATGGTGACTGCTAACACCACTAACTTGCACCAGAAGAACTGGAAGATGGTGGACAAGCTGCTACGATGGACGAGCTCAAAGAAGTCAACTTGGGAACTGAGGAGGACCCTCGCCCAACCTTCATTAGCTCTCTTATGCCAGAAGATCAAATAGAAGAAATAAAAGAACTCCTATGTGAATTCAGGGACTGTTTTACCTGGACATATACTGAGATGCCCGGCTTATCCCCTGATATGGCAGTTCACAGATTAGCCATCAAGCCTGATGCAGTACCCGTCAAGCAAGCTCCAAGGAGAATGAGATTGGAGATTGAAGAACAGGTGATTGCAGAAACAAAGAAGCTCATAGAACCAGGTTTCATCCGAGAAGAAAAATATTCTGATTGGATTGCCAATATCGTCCCTATAAAGAAGAAGAATGGCCAGATTCGTATCTGCATCGACTTCAGGGACCTCAACAAGGCATGCCCAAAAGATGACTTTCCACTCCCAGTATCAGAACTTTTAATTGACAACACTTCCAACTATGATATGTTCTCTTTTATGAATGGATCGTCGGGCTACAATCAAATTAAAATGACGTATGAAGATGAAAGACATACATCATTCAGAACGCCTATAGGCATATTCTGCTACACAGTCATGCCCTTCGGCCTGAAGAATGCTGGTGCCACATATCAAAGGGCGATGACTCGTATATTTGATGATTTAATTCATCAAAAGGTCGAGTGCTATGTGGACGATCTTGTTGTCAAAATCATGGATAGAAGATATCACCTAAGTGATTTGAGAGTTGTGTTCGAGAGGATCAGAAAATATGATCTGAAGATGAACCCTCTCAAATGTGCATTCCTCCGGCAAATTATTGGGATATGTTGTTCGACATCGAGGTATTGAAGTCGACCCCAATAAGTTCAAGGCGATCGTGGAGATGCCACCTCTAAGGAACCTTCGGAAACTTCGCTCCCTACAAGGTCAACTGGCTTTCATTCGCAGGTTTATATCGAATATGTCGGGTAGGTGTCAGCCATTTTCAAAGTTAATGAAGAAAGATGTCCGATTCAAATGGGACGAAGAGTGCCAAGAAGCGTTTGACAGCATTAAGAGATATCTGTTAAATCCGCCCATTCTTGCGGCGCCAATCCCCGGGAAGCCTCTTATACTGTACACGGCAGCACTAGAAGAGTCCCTCAGAGCATTATTGGCTCAGCATAATGAAGAAGAAAAAGAAAATGCGCTCTACTATATCAGCCGGAGGTTGATAGGAGCAGAAATCCACTACTCCCCTATCAAGAAGTATTGTTTGGCTCTAATTTTTGCAGTTCAGAAGCTCCGCCATTATATGCTATCTCACAAAATCACCTTGATATCAAATATCGATCCGCTGAAGTTCTTAATGATAAGACCAGCGTTGACAGGTCATTTGGCGAGGTGAGCAGTGATACTTTTATAGTTCGATATTACATATATTCCGCAGAAAGCAGTGAAAGGGCAGGTGTTAGCAGACTTTCTTGCTGCACATCCTATCCCTGCAGATTCACCACTCAACGACGATCTACCTAACGAGCAGATCATGAATGTTGAAGAAGAGGAGATGCTACGAGTATGAGAAATGTACTTTGATGTATTTTGATGGAGCATCATCGATTAAGCGTACTCGGCCTCCAAATCTAGAGAAAGCTCAAGCCGGAATCGGACTCATTTTCGTGGCGCCCGAGGAAGGCATAATGAGATTCTCTTTCAGCTTGACTGAACCTCGTACCAACAATGAAGCTGAATATGAAGCTTTAATAGCAGGATTGGAGATTGCAATTGATGTCCGAATCCGAAATCTCCAAATCTTCGGTGATTCTCAACTTATTGTAAATCAAGTGTTGGGAGTTTACAAAATCACCAAATTCGAGTTGGCCTGTTATCATCGACGAGTTCTTGAGTTTATGAAGTAAATTCCAATTGTCCAGTTAACTCAAGTTCCCCGAGGTCAAAATGGCAAAGCTGATTTTCTTGCCAAACTGGCTAAAGAAATGGCAAATATGGATGATGAATGGCCCATCATAATTATGGTGCACAATCGTCGGATCCTAGAGCCAGCATTACTACAATTCCCGCAGTCAGAGGGAATACCAAATTCAAGCCAGCAGGATACAACTCCAGTTGATCCTCAACCTACCCAACCAGTTGATCTTGAAGATCAACTTGAAGAACATCAAGTTCCTAAGAAAAGACGCAAGGTCAGTCAAGCTTCAGAATCATGGTGGCATTGCCTAGATGTCGAGGAAAAAAATGACTGGAGGCAACCTTTCGTTGATTACTTCAAGGAAGGTAGACTACCAACAGAAAAATCATTAGCTGCTCAAATCAGAAAGAGAGCACTATGATATGCTTTTGTCAACAACACATTATATCGACGTGCTTTCGATCAAATGTGGCTAAGATGCTTAGGGACTCGAGAAGTTGATAAAGTGGTGGCAGAAGTTCATGAAGGACTTTGTGGAGCACACCAATCAGGTCCCAAGATGGCAGTCAAAATCAAAAGAATGGGTTATTATTGGCCGACCATGATCAGAGATTGTATCAATCATGCCAAGAGGTACCACGAGTGTCAGATTCACAGTGATATTATACATCAACCGCCTAACCCACTGCACCCTACAATAGCATCCTGGCCATTCGAATGCTGGGGTACTGATGTTATCGGGCCGATAGATCTGCCCTCATCGGCAGGACACCGCTTTATCTTGACAGCGACAGACTATTTTTCTAAGTGGGCAGAAGCAGCTCTATTCAGAGAAGTTACATCCGAGCATATGATCAACTTTTTCACCCACAATGTTGTTTACAGATTCGATGTGCCACGCCGCATAATCTCAGACAACAGAACTGCTTTCAAGAGTACAAAAATCTATAAGTTCGTTGACATGCACAAAATTGATTGGCTGTACTCTTCCATTTACTACCCGAGAGCAAATGGCATGGCAGAAGCCTTCAACAAGACACTGGTGAAATTGTTGAAGAAAATCCTTAGCAAGAACAAAAGGGAATGGCATACGAAGATGGCAGAAGCGCTATGGGCGTATCGTACAACTTACAAAATGCCAACCAAAGACACTCCTTACTCTCTAGCCAATTTCGCCATGGCAGAACTTGGAAATCTACCGAGCAAGAATGAAAAAGTCTTTTGTTCGAATGGTGCGTCCTCGATCATTTCAAGAAGGAGAATTGGTCCTGGTGCTGAGAAGACCAATCATCCCACACCGAAAAATTGGTGGCAAATTTATATCCAACTGGGAAGGACCTTTTGTCATTGAAAAGGTGTACCAAGGAGGAGCTTATCAACTCATCGATCTGAATGGTCAAAGGCCCATGCCGCCCATCAATGGCCGATACATGAAGAAATACTATGCATGAATTTCTCAAGCAGATGTCATGTTTAATACGCTATACTTTCATACACGTTTATTAGCGTATATGTTCTCTATTTTGAAATTCTCTTATGTCATGATAACACATTTCAAAATTCCCCTGTTAGACTGGGGGCATTTTAAATATTTATCCAGGTCGACATCGCGCTGCGTGCCGAGATCGTCAAATAAATATTTAAAATTTCAAGATTCTAATTCTATTCTGCTCTAAAATGTCCCTGCGAGATAGGGGGCATTTTAAATATTTATTCGGGTCGACATCGTGCTGCATGCCGAGATCCCTGAATAAATATTTAAAATTATCAATTCATATATCTTTTGTGCTGAAGAATACAAAGATCTTCTTTTTCAAAGTATATGCAGGTGACCTCTCAAAAGATCGAGACACCTTCTCCAACAAACCAAGGTTTAAAAGTCAAGAAAGAGACTTTTGAAACTACACACTCCTACAAAATTGAGCCGGAAAAGCTTGAAGTCTTTCAACAGCCTGAAGCTTAAGGTTCGAATGGGTGTAAAAGGTCGGATCCAACAAGCCCAAATATGGCCGGATCGCTGGCAGCCCTGTCTACTCAATAAGCCATAAGAAAGGCCGTAGTAGCGGAACCCCCACTTCGTCAACTCGTCAGTAGGGACTGTAGGAAGAACGAAGGCCAATTTGACTCGATCAGTTCAAGTGATCGTAGTCTGCAAAGTTCTCCAAAATGACCGGAGAATCAAAGTTCTAAGGGAAGATGAGTCTCGAGCAACTACTGAATGTTTGTAGGCTCCAAAATCTAAAACCATGAAGGATGACTCCAAATCTGTCAACTTCAGCAAAATCAGCATTGGGGAGCGCAATTCCCATAGCTCAAGTCTGAAACATTAATGGGTGTAAAAGATCGGATACAACAAGCCCAAATATAGCCGGATCGCTGGCAGCTCCATCTACTCAAAAAGCCATAAGAAAGGCCGCAGTAGAGGAACCCCCATCTCAACAACCAGAGGACGAAGAGCTGTCAAATCCTAGCTCTCCGATCTGATGAACTCAAGTTATTCAGATTAAAGTCTTCTCAAGTGGTTAAGGATCAAGATACTACCTACGTTTGGTACTATCAATTGAGTCCAGAACCTGCAAATCCTTCAACAAGTCCGTCCAAGCACAAAGCAAAGGACCTAAGAGAACTATCCCACAGTTCATCAAAAGCTTATGGCTGAACTAAGTGGATTCTGTCATCAACAAGTCCGCTATGCACAAAGCTCTGGACCGATGACTTTTCGCCATCGACCTAATACAAACCTAAGGTTTAAGTTACCGGCATCTACCGCTTCGTCAAGCCCGCCAAAGCTAGAAGCAAAGGGCAGAAGGAATACAAAATTTCTGACAAGTCAGTAAAGACAAATCAAACAATCCTTCACTAAGTCCGTAGCACAAAGCACAGGACAGAATGATCAAAATCTCAGGGCTCTAGCTAAAGTTGTAGAATAAGTTCCCTGAATGACATCTACAAATGTCCCTAAAGACTGAGGGCATTTTAAATATTTATTTGGGTTGACATCGTGATATATGTCGAGATCCCCAAATAAATATTTAAAATTTCAACAAGATATCAACCATCTATGGATACATCTAGAAGTGCAATGGAGAAAGAAGATTAGTGTGACATCCAAACAAATTTTGGAGATCCACTAAAAGAAAGTAGTGTGACATCCAAACAAATTTTGGAGATCCACTAAATGAAACCCTAGTGTGACATCTAGAACAAATATCTAGAGATCCATAGGGTCAATCAGCATACAACAAACGTGGCCCGCTCCAAACGCCAACCACATTTGTTGGGGGGCATTTGTTGACCTGCTGTATAACAAAAAAGAAAAAAAATCAAGTCCTTACCTGCCCACTGCCAAGGCCACGACGCACGTCGCCTACACGCCGAAGCACGTTGTATCCCGTACGTCGCTCCCACGTCGCCTACACGACGCTCCTGCGTCGTTAAAAAGCCGAAGGGAATGAGAGAGCGAGGCTCTCTCACGCTCACTCTCTCCCTATCTCCCTCCGACCCCCTCTACTCTATTCGACTTCGCTCGACCGACAATTTCCCTTCCTCTTGGATCGGGAGTCCGACATTTCGATCGGAAGCACGAACGGGAGCTCACCGTCCATGAAGATAACTTTCTACCTTTCGTGCGTTTCTTTGGTTCCTTCTTGGCTGTCCGACATCGCTCCTCCGACAACCTCCCCGCCGGATCGGAAGTCAGACATTTTGATCGGACGGAGCAACAGGAGCTCGCTCTTTCGGCGCCCCCATTGCTGTTCGACTTCGTTACTTCGACGACTTTCCCTACCTGTCGGGACGGAAGTTACGACATTTTGATCGGAGGCAAGCACAGGAGCTCGCTGGAAGTGAAGGTAACTTTCTCCCTGCTCGCGGTCTTCTCCGGCCAAATCCCGTAATCTGCCGAACCGAGAGATTGGGGAGGGAGGGTTTTCTTTTTTTATGTTATTATTATTATTATTTTTAATAATATAATATATACATATAATATTTAATTATAATAGTTTTAATTAATTCCAATTAATTCATTAATTTTTTTAATTAATTATAAAATTAATTATTATTAATTAATTATGATTTATCAAAATTAATTAATATTTCATTAATTATAATTAATTGCAAATTAATTATAATTAATGATTTTTAATTAATTTTAATAAAATCTTTAGCTTGGTGTGATGGGAAACCGTGCGACACCTACGACGAGACCGGGATGTTTATAAGTACCCCCGGGCGGGGGGAAAGCAAATTGCTCTTTTCTTGCAACAGGTACCAAAGACCCATACACGCCTTTCTCTGGCGTGGTGGGGGTAAAGACTTTACACGGCCGCGGTGTCCTCGAAAGTGGGCACCTACCGTACACGCTTTTCTCTAGCGTGGCGGGAAAGGCCCAGTTTTCCGTCATTTTCCCCTAAACAGGGGAGACGTCGGGAGGCTGCCGAAATTTCGGGTGAAATACTACTACACTTGGACCTGTTTTGCACTCAAAAGAATAAGAGTTTGGACTCAAATGAGAAAGAGCAGTGGACTTTCGAACTTGATTGAAAGTAAACAGAGGAATTGTGGACCTAAATCAGAAGAAGCCTAAATGATTTCTAAAAAAAAAGTTCAAATCCAAATAAAATCAAGACAGAACTGAAGATCAAATTCAAATGAAATGAACTCGAAATGGGACCAAATTGAAATCATTTGAATGCAAAATTGAACTAAAAGGATTTCAAAAAGACTATGAACAATCAACTCGGACAAGCACTTGAATTCGTACTTGAACTCGGGCTGTACGACATGAAGGGGAGACCTGTAAACTTGATGAATTCAAGTCTGAATGAAACTAAACTTGGATCCAAACACATACAAGGACAAAGTTTGAATCACGCATGAGGAAATTCAAATTACAAGACCTCGATGCATGAATTCCTACAGCAATCCCTACAAATGCCTGTTGATTGAGATGGCAATGCTGGAGATCAACAATCAAAGACCCGGTCATGCAAACAAACCCAACAAATCCCACCTGAGATTGGCAACAGGTGGGCATGATGTAGGCAACAATGGGTTTCATACGAAAAATTCCAGGAGCTCGTAGCGGCTGCAACGGGTCCTTGCAAATAAACACAACCTCCTTGTGGATAACAACAGTGAGAACCTCGTAAGCATAGCGGACCACTGTAGACACAAGTATTAATATCACCTACGACAATGATGATCAAAATCTACAAGTACACCTGGTACAAAGGCAGCCCGATGTATGAAGAAAGACACCTCCTGGCAGAATGGGAGGAAAGTTCAAACAAATTAGAACTAAACTTCCTGGTGTTCCAAAATTTCTTCCTTGTCCCATCCTTAGGAAGAAAACAATTCTGATGTCTACAAAAACCAAAAATAGAAAGTCCACTACGCCGAAGAGCCTAAAAAGAGTTCTTT